ATCAATACTTCCGGTAATTTAACCCGCAATAGGCGAAAAACTTCATGCAGAACAGGAGCCTGATAGTGCAGTCGACAAATTTGCCATGAAGGTAGTAAAAAACAACGAAACAGTCGGCCATTTACCTCGCGAGTATTCGCGAATTTTGTGGTACTTTACCGAACTTTACCGCACGTGGCGGAAAGATATGTGTGGAAGTGACTGGCCGCAGAAGTCACTGCAAACAGCTCTGCGGAGGAATGGAGATTCCTTGTATGTTGGTGTTTAGTTGTTCGAGTAAAGCGAAAATTAATCGCTTGAAAGAACTCTTGGAGAGCAAGATTCGCCGATAAACACTCGAAGACATAACGACTCCTTTAGGAGCCACCACTCAATGAAAAAGTCAATGAACTACAGCAACACGCTTTCAGTTTCTTGTATGTTTGTTTCTTGGCATCTTGAGAAGTTTTATGAACATTAATTAGGGTTATGAGAACTTCAAACACAAATGTATCCATGGATAAGCCGCACCCTTGAGTTTTGGCTTTAATTTTGTGAAAAAAAGTGCGGCTTATACACGGACGATTACGGTAACTCGATTACGAATCATTTTTTTTTAAATATTGAACTATCTGGCCCTGATTTCCACCCACGAGAATTGAAATTCTTATTCATCAATGTTCTGGAACTTATTTTGATCCTAAGCATTTTAGACAGCTCCAATTGTTCAGTTTCCATGAAAACTTTTAACCCTTTAAGTCCTTTAACTCCCAGAAATGATGAACATGTGACTTCTCCCCATAATATTCATACATTTATATCCAGGAAACAAGTAATGAGAATACCTGAACACATCAGGTAGAAGTTGTTAATTTGATTTAAATCCAAATCCTCTTAACTAATTTCTAAGGAAATGTGAATCAGCTACTATACAGGGGAGAATTAACAATCAAGATCTTAGGATTTAAAGAGTTAATAAATATAGATTCCCAGTTGTCATGCATCTGTTTAGTAATAGACTATAAATTACTTTAAAACATGGTCAGAACGAAGAAGTTGCACACAGGGTCCAGCCAAGTGCAACTGATGTTCTTACCCAAGTTTGATGTCTTCTTTCATCTTTTACTGTACGTCAGACACTTAATAACATGAGATCTATTTGTTTTATATTATGTTGAAAGGCAAAATGTTGATAATGGTAATGTCATCTCTGCATCTGTCCTCTAATAGATCATGAATAAGAACCAATCAAAATGTATAATTCAGCTTATTGTATAAATGAATGCAGGGGTGTTAATGATCAAAACCAGAAGTGAACTCTTTGATGTCCCATGTGAAGGTAGGTGGTTACCGACCCTTGTACGCCATGTGTCTTCCCCAACCCTCCCCTCCTACCAGAATCTTATGAAAAGAGTATGTATTGAAAAGTGACTCTTCTCTGCATGTGTGCAATTGAAATAGCTCAGGTCATCAAGATTTAGTGGGAGAATTTTGGCTGGTGGTTAGATTATTTTTTGATCTAGATGTCTAATTAATACAGTTGGTTGCATGGCTTTTTTAGAGAAATTCATATTTCTTTTATTATGATTTTAAAGGAGCAGTGTCAAGTTCAACCCAGGATGAAAATAGGGGCAGCCTCCCACTGGAGCAGAGTGACGGCACCAGACCAATTGATCCAGAAGAAGTGGCTATCAAGTCCAATGCCTCTACTTCATCCCATGTTAAGAAGAATGCTGAGCGTGGTTTTTGATGATGATGATGACTTGGATCATCAATGGGGCCTTCTCTATTGCAGGCCTGAGGCTCTAGAACAAGCTCCTTCAAATTAGGCTTTTGGACAATATTAATTGGTTTCAAAAAGTGCTTAATTAAGACTCATCTATTATGGTTTAATATTTAACATACAGCCTTCAAGAAACTTTGTAATTAGAATGTGTAATTTAAAATGAGTGTGCAAATTAGACTTGATACCATTGATACCAGTGTAGATAATTATTAAAAACTAGCCATTAAGACCATGCAGTGCTTAGGGCATTTTTAAGCATATTGAATTGGTATTTTCACTTTTTCCAGTCTTGACAAATCTTATACAACAAAAGATGATAGGATGTCTTATTTTATTTGTTTAAGAACTATTAGTGGTCTGTTATTTTTAGATGAAGCCATGTAAATAAAGGAAAAAGGTTTTTTTTTTTTTTCGATTTATAAGTTTCTCTCAAAATTCCAAACAGAAAAAGTGACCTCACAATTGTTAACATACTCTCTTCTTTAGACCCCAATGAGAGTGTACTATCTTAAATATTTTATAAATGCGGATGCATCATTATTTGGCCTCATCACCTGTTAGAAGCTCAAGCACACTGTCCTCAACACAACCTTAAGAGTGACCAGCATCTAATTTCTCCAGACATTATCACCCCTGAATTAAAACATCTAAGGTTACAGGAATAAAAGAAATGATCACCAACTAAAGCTCTTGATCATCAAAAGAATTCTCTTCAGCTGTTGCATAGGAAATGGAGGGAGGACAGTACGGAGAATATGCATACTGATGTTAGTTACTGAGACTTTTGGAATTAATTTTAATTTAATTTTTTAATTTATTAGATTCACCAACAGACAGGGACACTACAACAGCTTGTGCCAAGTACTGCAGGCCCAGTAAACCCACCCCAGGGGAGGGCATCCACCACACAGTAATCTCATGCGTGGGAAATTAACGTCTCTTACCCCTAACCCTGCAAGAGACAGGGCCTACAGTTTATTTGTCCTTATCCAAGAAGACTAGAATATCTATCCATTTCTTGATATTATAGAAAGGTAGCAATTTCACCTCAGTTATTTTAAGACCCAGAGTGTTGGTCTGGACAGGGCTTGAACCCTCGACCTCCTGCACAACAGTCCTGTGCTCTACCAATTGAGCTAACCAGGAGGCGGTTAAGATATTTTAAGATACTCATGATCAGTAAACAAATTCTCCTTGTCAGTGTGACAAGAAATGTAGAGAGAACAGTATGGGGACTATACAAACCGAAATTGGGGTATAAAGGGTAAAGTGCCTAGTCTGTGAGACACTCAATTTGCCATAGATTCATCTAAGTGCGTACCCATCCCTGTGATCAAAATGAGCAATAATCACACTGTTTATGAACAACTGAAGTTTTATTGTAAATAGCTAGAGTATCACTGGCAATGAATGCTTGTAGAGTTAATTGCATTCTGTTGTAGACACTAGTCAATAGCCCTTTGGCTAACCGTGTATACACTATTTCGATGTAAATTTTGAAATATATAGAGATTTGGCGAACTAGTAATTTTCCTATTTTTGTAATACATTTTTTTCAAATTACCTAAGCTTTCATTAAAATCTTGGTGAAATCTAGTCAAGATTACTTGGCTTAAACAAGTTTACAAACACTATGTTCACAATAACACTGACAGCCCTGAGAGAGGATTGCCCAGCATGTGTTTTAATTAATATATTGGGGAGATCGAAAGCTGTCTGGCCACTTTAATTTTACAGCAGCAAAACTGTGAAAAACTGGTAACTTGCGTAAAAATGCATCCTCTGAAGAACTTGAGTTTTGTTCATCCATTTAACTTTGCTTGTTTTGGAATTTCTGACTGATATAAATTAAAAGGAAACTGATTTGCCGATGTCAGCTAAAGTTATTCTGTAATTTTGGGAAAATTACTGAAAGTTGGAAGGCCTAGCTATGCAGTATTAATTAGGGTATTATCAATGGATCCAAATTCTCCCGGCCATCACCAATGGAATTGTAGGCATTAAGACAGTAAGGAAATTAGTAATGAGCTCTTGGAAGTGAAAGAATTAAACAAACAACAGACAGAAAGCCTGCTGCTATGTTCTGTAAACTAAACATATTGAGTCACTTATTTAAACAAAGTTTAGCCATTGTTTAGCAGAACCAAGTTCTAAACTATCTTGAATTTAGCTAAATCTTTGACATGAATGTTTATTTTTGTGAACAGCATCAAGAGAACTGAAAGTTAGTAGTGGAAGGACATTTATTTAATGAAAACAACCTAATGGAGAGTATGTAAGGCCCATTAATTGCTTAGGTAAAACTGTGGTTTCGGTTTGACCTCATCTAAATAAGTAGCCATTCTGTTTAAAGTTCATTTTGTCTGAATGCAGGAAAATATAATCCAAGATAATGACAGCTGCCAATCAAAAGAAAGTGAGAAATCAAAGAAAGGATGAATGCTAAGAGAAAATACAAGAGCGTGAAAATAGGGGTGGCCCAGTAACAATTGGTTTAACTTTTACTTCCAATTGACTATAGAGCGGCAATATTTTTTCTAAATCAGTCACAGTGGGTAGTCAAGCAAAACCATAATAATTGCAGGCTACATCCAATGACTGACTGATCTCTGCCAAACTACCAGCTGTTGAAGTGGAAAAACTAATAATTATTATAATTATAACCTAGGAGAACTTTAAACACTTTGAGCATTTAAGTGTAGAGAAGTATAACCTCTCTTTCTGTGACTGTCATATGGAGAGCCATGACAACCTGTTGATGAACCCTCGTAAACTATCATAGACAAAGTTTGGCCTACATTCCTGGGCAATGCTGTGCTGCCAGTATTTGGGTCAGAATGAACCCAAAGAGAGTCAGCATCTTGTATCCCATTTGGAGGGTTCAATCGTTCTCTGAGAGCTTCCTCGTAAGTGGGCGGCAGCTCTGCATTTTCAGCAACAGCCTCGCTGTAACTAGGAGGCTCCACAGAAGTACATGGGAGCATCTCGATATGATTTGGCGATAGAGTAGCAACACGAGGTCTGTCCACTTCAGATCGAGCTGCCATTATTTTTTTCCATGCTCTCCAAAGCCATACTCCCACAATAAGCATTCCTCCCACAATGCTGACAGGCCAGAATCGGTACCAAGAGAGAAAATCAGGGTCTTTTGTTTCAGGGCAAACTTCTTCATCTGAACCATCTTCACAATCTTCTTGACCATTGCATTCTTTATCACTCTCAATGCATTGCCGATTTGTGCAGGTAAACTTTGACAATCCGCAAACACTTCCAGAAGATGATTCATAATGCAGAGAAAACCATCCAATGTTCGTTTGCTTGTAATCAGATATAGCCTTGATCATTAGCTCATTTGTCCTAGAAATGATCTTGTTAGGAATGACATCTCCGCAATACTCACCAATTTTATAAGAGGATTCATCTGAGCCATCATAAATTTCTAAATGTCCATACTCACAGACTCCATCCATTTTAGATCCAAACTTCAAGGTGTCAAAGTATAAATGTGCATGCATGTTAGGATCCACCCGAATTTTCCACGCACATTCTTGGCCGGGTGGAAAGTGATAGGGGTAATTTTGAGAGTAAATTAACCCCGATGTATCTTTAAAGGTTCCACCGCATGTTCCCTCTCCAGCGAAAATGGTGTGATAATTAGCTACGAATCCTGATTCGCTGCTACCTGACCTTTTGAATCTAAACCACAGAATTCGTCCTTTTGTAGAATAAATAATAGGCGGTTTGTTAATGCCGCAGTAACGACCACGTCTCGATTCTCCTTGAGAATTTGAAAGTACAAAGTATCCAATTTCCTTCACCTCAAGAAAATCATATAAACAAACAGGCATTCGACCATTAACTCTAAAGCTCTCGAACTTTACCTTTATCCTCCCTTTCGGCACCTTGATGCTGTAGATGCAATCTTTGTTTTCATAAGGAAACGGATATCCAGGCGAGCGAAAACTGCCCGAAGGATCAGTGTAATGGCTGCCACACACTGCTTCGTATGACAGACGAAAACGATTACCTCTGTAGGTACGAAAATCAGACGTAAATTGAATCCATATAACATTTCTCGTGGAGTAAATAAATTTTGGTTCCCTTTTAGCACAGAATCGTCCAATGAGAGTGGAATTGTCGAGAGACCCGTCGCGAATTTCTAAAAAATCGTGCGTACAAGAACAACATGTTGTTTTCATGACAAAGTCCGTCAATGTAATTTTCACACGAAACCTCTCTGGCACTGTAATTGTCCAAGTACAGCGAAGGCTTTCGCCCACATTTCCTCCGCTTATCGGAAAACGAAGGTCTCCGGATTTGCCTTCAAGGAGGTCACCGCAAGAAGAACAACAAATTCGAATCCATACAGAGAGCAGTACTTGCACTACGATCCAGCTAAACTTGGCCGCCATCCGTGAAACGTTCGCATTTGACCCACAGTTGGCGAAAATTTGAGGTCAGCAATAAAATATATTAAGTATATCGATTGTCGAGTTCCCGCTGTCGAAACAAGTTGTCTTCAAGAGGCGAAATTTAAAATTCTCTTAAGTGACTCATCAGTAAGACTGTCACAACACTTGACATATATTAACTAAGGCTCTTGACTGAAGAGGCATGAATAACACCGATCAAGGGTGTACGATGCGAGATGCCGCACGCTCCTCACAATTCAAGCGTAGCTGACACAGAATACCTTTCTGAGAGATTCTTTACACGATTGAGAATTCAGCGAATGAGCATTTCTGTTTGTCAATTAGCGAGGCGCAAGTTCCGCTAATGGCTCTGACATACAAGACACCTTTTACTTCTGTCGTCTTTGAAGAGAAATACACTCCACTGTGCCGCCCGCCAACCAATGAAATGACACCTCCTTATTTGCAATCAGCATATTCTATTTCCACGGACGCGTCTAATTTCGAAATCCATATTGAATTTTTTAAAACATACTAGCTCAAAATACGACAGTTTTATTGAGGCAGCTGGGATTCTGGAAACAGTTTCGGTATTCAAATAATAGAAGACGATAAATCAATATAAGTTCATTGAAAATTGATGAAATTATACTCGGCAGGAAATAAAGAAAAATCGCTTTAGAATGTTTATACAATTCTGCACGGTCCATCAACCATTTTAATTATTTCATGACGCGGTCTAATATAAATAATTTCGTTTCAACACATGTTTTGACTTCTAAATCTTAATAAATATGGACTATATGGAAATGTACCTTTTTAGTTTATCGAAACGGATCTCATCTGATAGAGTTGAGCTTTATATACAAAGCGCCATTTTTTTAATAATGTTATCTGATTGGGAGACAAATAAATTTGGGTTAAAATTTTAATCGCTGTGGGAAAACAAAGATAAAGAAACGACCTGCTGTTTGCTGTGTTTTTGGCATTCCCGTTAGATCATCAAAATGTGAGGGAGGGGGAGGGTAGAAATGAGAAAAGACCAAGCCATACCCCAGCCAGGAAGATGTTGAAACACTAATTCCCAGTCTCATCTCTATTTTACCGTGTATTATGGCCGACTTCGATAAGCAGAAAATCGCAACTGAGTTACGAAAATTCAGGAAAAAGCTACGGCAAATTGAAAAATTAGAGGAACAAGAGCGAGAATTAACGGAAGAAGAATACCGTAAGGTAATAGAAAAAGTTAAAATTTCGTTAAGAAACGATGCTATTGTAAACAATAGCCACGTTTATTACGCGTCTTGCTAAAGCTCCACTTCTTTGCTTATAGCTTGAGAGTAAAAAACGGAATAAGCAGAGATATGGGTCAACTTGCTTTTTAGATGTCAGCAATCAATTTAATTCTAATTTAAGGTTACTGAGGTCGTGTTTCATATTAGTAAAAAATAAATAATTCGGCTTAACTGTAATTTACCCGTGGTCGAGTGTGACTTTATTTTTCGTCTTCGATGAGTTCCGCGTTAAGAATAGGTCACCTGGCCGGAAACGACAGATAAGCATGAGAGTTAATTTTGGCACAGATGCCGGTTATTTTTATCTATCTGTTGACTTATTCTAAATGGTGAGTCTGGTCGAAAGTAAGTAACAATGTTTTTTACCTTTTAAACCACTGATTTTAATTTTCCACATTTCTATTTAATGCTGAATTTGCTAAACACGATTCAAAGTCTATTTCGACACCAATTTCAGGTTGATTTAGCCAGGGTTGCCCAAAAAAATCCTTTTGTTTGAACCAGCTATGAGAAACCATTACAAACGTTTTCTGTTGAGTCACTGCCAGCTTGTCAATGTTCTGTAATTGCCGGTGACTGATTTTTCACATATTTCTTTGGAAAAGGATTCGCTTGCTGGTCTGTCCAGTTGAAACTGAAAGAGCCTTAAGGCTAAAGTGTAGTACTTTGGAATTAAAGATGTGGGTTTTAGCCATACAGTAGCAGTTATTTTGTTGTGTTCCACAGCTGAAGGCATGTAACTTTGATCCAAAGTACATTCACCCAGAAAATGAATGGGTACTGGTCAGTGCATTTTCAAAGATCTGCTCTGAAAACCAATTATCCCAACCCCTGACAAGTTACAATTTAAACAACAGAATTTCTGTCTGTGGGCATATGTTTTAGGCCCACCTCAGAGTCATTTTGGCCAGAACCACTAGGAGAGGGTTAAAATGACTCTGAGAAGGGCCCAAAAGGTATTCATGCCCAAGAAAATAATCTACATCACTATTATTATCACTTTGGAGAGCATTGAGAAGAGAAAAACTGAAAGAAATGGTAACAAAACAGTCTGAACAACCATGCAAGCATGTGTTTTTAACTTAGCCCACCAAGATCTCCATTGTAGCTTCATAGTGCACCTCAATACCTAACAAAGTGCTAGATGATTAATACTCTTTTTACATAACACTATGGAATCCTGAATTAATGAGGCTCTCCCAGTGTAGGTCACTTGCCTTGCAATGATCTATCATGTTGTTGTTATACCATAGATGTGCAGTTTTTTATTTTTAAATAAACAGATTAAGTAATCAATCATTTTGAGTTTTTTTTTTTTTGGATATTTTTAGCTTTGCACAAAAGATGAAGTACGCTCCAAAGTGCAGCAGTTGGTATCAAGGGAAGTTGAACTGAATGCTGAAATACAAAAAATGGAAAATCAACCAAAAGAAGATGAACCAAACTTGTTCATTCAACAAGAAATCTAAGATGATGAAGTAACTACCACAACTTTTTTAGCATCTGATGTTGAAGGACCACCACAAGAAGTTGTCAGCCAAAATGTACAGAATGAAAATAAACCTGATGAAAGGGAGAGTACTAATCAGGGTGCTGTTCAGGACAAGGTGCCTGATACTCCACTGGCTAAAACAAAAACAAACAAACTGCCATCATCACCCATAAACAGTGATATGAAGTTTTATGTGAGATCTTTAGAAGGTCACAATGATGCAATATGTTGTGTTCATTGCGAGGGCTCAGTTCTTGTGTCTGGAAGGTATGTTCCATCAAATGTTGTTTTACAATTGATTATATTAAGTATTGCACATGGTTTTTCCATGTCATTGTCATTTTCTCTAGGGTATTCATAATAATTTGGATATATCCATGTTGTTGTCATTGTCTCTATGGTATTCATAATAATTTGGATATATCAACAAAGTTGAAATGGCAAATTGGCTACCATAACGATTACAAAAGCTGACATCTTGAGCGTTAGCCCTTTGTCGGAGCGAATGCTATGGTATTCAGCTCCTTTATTAACCCTTAAACTCCCAGAAATGATTAAAAATTTAACCTCTCCTTGCAATTCCAATAAATTATCTCCTAAACAGATTATGAGAACAGACAAGCTTACCAGCTATAGGTTGTTATTTTAAAATTACCGAATTCTCCTGTTAAATTTATGAGGAAAACTATGGACTGAAGTAGGTTGAAAGAAATGTTGATACATGCATCATGGATAGTCTTTTCTGATCTCCCATTATCATGTATGTCACAATACTCCAGAGAAGTACAAGTTACTGCAGTAAGGGTTATGCCCCTCACTTTTTGGCGGAAAAATTGCTTCAAGATTTCCCCAAAATGGGAAAAAGCTAATGCATTTCCTTTCTGCCTTTGGGTAGTGATAAGGAAAATTGTTTTATCAATGAAAGCTTTTTAGGTAGCAATAGTGTCCTCTTTTCCATGAGGATAATAATGATTCAGCAATGTTATTTTAAGGAGAAATAACATGCTGGTCATTCTAAGGGTTTAAAGTGCATCACAATTTGTGTAATCTGTGTAACCCCTTACTTCAAAATTCATTTTTGGGGGCTTGTACTTTAATAGTGTTCTGATATTGCCCCCCCCTCCCCCGACATTACGCACTGTGAGTACATTGTTCAGACAGCTCACAAACGTCTGTTCACACTGCATTGTCTGAAGAAGTCAGGTGTTTTAGAAAGGGAGTTAGTTATGGTGTATTCCAGCCTGATTCATTCAGTGATGGAGTATGCCTCCCCAGTCTGGGCAAACCTGCCTGATTATCTTAGCAATTTGAAGACCTCTATATGACAGTAAGAATCTCTGTCAACCCTATATGAGCATCTCTCTCAAAGAAAAACCATAGATGGCCAATCGAAAAACTTGCTTGAATTTCTTACGAATTAATTTTCTTTTGTGATATTTAGTTGGACAGTAAAATTTGTTATGTTCAGTTGACTTCAAGCAAACGGGGAAAAAAAGGTTAAATAACCAATAGTTTATCATTTTACAATCTCTTGTAGACAACCCAGCTCTCAAAAAATATTTAATGGATAAACGAAGAAGCTAATCAGATTTCAAATCGCGATTTTGCCTTAGCTGGTAGCGCCAAAGAAATCTACGGGAAAATCCTTTTTTTTTTTATGGCGTTTAGTGCAGCAAGTAGATATCAGTACTCGTGATGTGATTGGTGCTGGTTTGTCACGTGATCACAGCGCCTAGATTGAGTTGGCAGCAGCTATTTTGACCAGCCAAATAAGTTGAAGCACAGGCTGTTTCGCAAAAAGGTTGTTTCTTTCTTTAATCATGTCTTACAAATTAACTGGAATATTTACTTGGTCCTTATAGCCCCTAGCCAGATATTCCATCTAAACGATAGACTTGCCGGCGGCCTTGTTAATTCGGCCAGAATAAAAACAATTTTGCCTACAATTTTCATTCGCCAAGTTGTCAGAGTTCGTCTAAAAAGGATAGTGTTTGAAGTTTTTCTTTGTAGCGAATTTCTTCACGTTTTGAATTGTTTATTCTGCTAATAATCTCATGAACACCAAGTTATATCTACCGTGAGAGTTATGCACGTACCTGCCACAAGACCAGTTCACTGCTGCGATATGCGGCTTTGAATTTCTTAATATTTAATGATAGTTTAGTTTCATCTAATTTGCAAGGAACTTTGGCATGCCTTGAGGCTGTTATTTACCGATTGACAGGCGCACACACCATGGCCAAACTCGGCGAAAGCAGCAGAGAAGCGTCATGCTAAGATTGAACGGTGATAGGACGTGAAATATTTTATCGGCATTCCAAGCTACTAACTTACTGCCATGTTGTTTAATATCAGGAAGGATAAGAACGGGTATTGTTACTTATCTAATGGCTCTGTTACTTGTTATCAACTTATCGTGTAATGTTGCTATTCCTAGTCGACCTCAGTTACCGATATCAATTGAGAAAATCTTATTTTCCAGCTTATATTTAATTGGAATGTCCTTTATCCAATACTGTTTCCTCCACATCTGCAAATCGTTGAAACGCGGCATATGCTGTTGTTTTCTCGTGGAAGAAATGCAGTCTCTGAGTTCAGTGGTCGTGAACCTATGAAGTGTGTCCTTTTTTTTTAGGTAGTGAAATTACAGAAGAGTAACTCTAGCTAGACCTTTGTGTCTTTCAGTGTCTTTCTATTTGTCTCCCAAATGGTGCATGAATCTTCCTCCGTCATCACACATAAAAAATTTAAGACAATTCCACATAAGATACTAAGAATGGGTATGTCGTTTCGGGTTCTTGTTGTTTCTAAAAACGAGTTAGTAATGGCGCTAACATGAAATACAAACGTCCAGCTAACTTATTGACTTTATCGTTTTTCTTTATTTTATTGTCCACGGGAAGTTCACCGGGCCTCTTTTGTTTGTTCACAAAATCACGAACCGCATCAATTAAGCGCTGATTTCAGAAGAAGCACTAAAAATATTTTAAAGCAATGAACGCGAGAACTTAGCGTTGTCGCTACATATTTATAAATCTGCCAATCGAGGCTTGAGAAAAAAAAAAAGATACTGTACAACGGGAACCCCTGAGTTTTTCGTAAGAATTTTTTTTTCCGTTATCGTTCATAGTTTAATTTTGTTTATTTATCTATTTTTCGTTAATTTATTTGTTTGTGTTCGTTAACACTAAAGTGTTAGTTTTGAATTTCTCAGTAACGTCTTGCTTCTTATCACAATAGTATCGTGAGGCTAAATTGCGAACGTTTTTTTTTTTTCAGCTTTAACCATTTACACCCTAACATCAGTATGCATATTCTCCATACTGTTCTCTATACATTTCCTAAGGTGCAGACAAGGAGAATTTGTTTAACAATCAAGGGCTCACTATTCGGTGATCATTTCCTTTATTCTCATGACTTTGATGTGTGATTCAGGGGTGATATTGTAAGGAGAAATTAGATGCTGGTCACTCCTGGATTCTCAGTTGTGTTATCCGTAGAGCTATAATCTGGTTCGCTTCTCGTGGGTGGTTTAATTATTAAGAGACATTTATTAAAAAAAAAAAAAAAAAAAAGGCCAAAAACCTTGAAGAAGTTCACGTTTGCTTCGAAGTCAACTCGATTTTTAAAACGTAATAAGTCTGGTTTTTTCTTACTTTACAACGTCGCTGGTTTCTTTGCAGTCGCGACACCATGCTGAAGTTGTGGGATGCTGACACTGGGAAAGAGATGAGGAGCCTTGGTGGTCATACTGGCTCTGTAACTTCTGTTTTCCTTCTGCCCAAAAGGGATATGGCATCATGCGGTGAGTGAGTGCTTTTGATATATCTTTGTCAATGTTTCTGTCTGGGTATTCATCTATTTTTCTCTGTTAGACCTTACTCTCTGGAGGATCCCCCCCTTTCATCTCTACTCAACTCTCTGTGTTGCAGTCTCTCTAAAACTGACGTTTCGAGCGTTAGCCCGTCGTTATCCGCTCTGACGAAGGGTTTATGTTCGATACATCAGCTTTGGAAACTCTTTACGGTGGCCAATTTACCAACTCAGTTGATAAAAAAGAAAAAAAAAATCATCTTGTAAAATCCTTCACCGAAGCAGCACCATAGTAACTATTTCTTAAGAAAATTCCCCCCTTTATTCATCCGTTGCAATGTCTGTCAGTCTACCTGTCTCCGTCGGTCAGACATTCTTTGTGACTTCATCTGTTTACCCTTTTTTTGCCCTTCTGCTTACCTGTGTTTCTCCGTCTCTCTTAAACCTCCCGTTCTGTTCGGCCTTATTTTCGAAATCTGTTATCAATTTGATCTGTAGGGCTATCTTATTTCGTCTTTCTGGAGCCATTTCTGGCCGTCCCCATCAACCTCATTAGTGTTTACACTTATTTGCTATATCTCCCCAGATGTGTCTTCCGGTTTTCGACCTGATCAGTACTCGGTTATCACGGGCTCAAAAGATTGCTCCATGAAAATCTGGTCTCTCTCTAACGGTAAGTTAAGCAGTTGTATGCAAGGAAGTAGCTTTACAGCGTGGTCACGCGGTTCTGTGGCGTGTGTATCGAAGAGCGGCTCGTGTACTTTTCTTCGCTTGACTTACCAACTCCCCCCTCCCTCCCCCAAAACCCGCCTTCAGTACGTCCTCTCTTTTTCATAAATCAGTAAGAGATTGAAAGTCGATCTTATCGCCGTTTCTGTGTTATATTTTTGTCAATATGTGTGTTTGCAGAATTTCTTTATTTCTGCTGTTTACTTATCAAGTCTATCAACGTGAGTTTGTACGTGATATTTTCGTTGTCACGTTGTGGAGTCACGCATCTGTGGCCTCCGTCACGTTATTAAATCATAACGTTACTTTTACGAGTCTTAACCTAGCCAGCGATCAGAAGTTCATTTCTCTCGTTTCTGTTCTTGTACTCGGAAAACGGTTGCAGTCACGGAAGATGGAATCGAACGCTTGCTCGGTTTAGTTTCTACGTCTTAAGTATTATGTTTGCTGATGCCGCAAACGTCATACTTAACCTCCCCTTTGTTTTAATGGTCCTTTGGGAGTTACGTATTTGCATAACAGGAATTGTGAACTCGCCTATACAAGCTCAAATTTCAAATACATCCATATTACCAAAAACGCGAAAATTACTGCTTGTCTGTCAGAAAGCGACTGAAATCTTAACGGGGATTTGAGAACAGTGTTAACTTCATTCACTTTAAAAATGGGATTTGTGCGTAAGTGATGTGAATGCATTTTCATTTTCGTTTTCATTTAATAATAGATACATGTAGCTCGAAGGTTTTTCCCTTGCATAATTCTGATTGCGTAGTAACTTTTCCTTCGTTGTAAAGTGAATTTTTTTCTCCTCGTTCCTTAGGTCAGATACAACGATCCATGTACGCCTTTTCACCTGTTGAATGCCTCGACTGTCGCCGTAATCTAACTGCGGCTGGACTAGGTTGGTCAAAGTTCTTGTACTAACATGTGATAATGTTGTGTTGATCACGTTTCTATAAACAAGCGAACTTTGCTCCCTCAGTCAGCGAAAGCGTAGACTTGTATGGGAACGTCATAATGAACAAAAATATATCTGGAACGTCACTATAAAAAAAATATATATACTGAGTTTTGATGAATTAGCTGTATTTTTTGTCTGCGAAACCAGCAAAGTTACTGATTGCATCAGCCTTGACTGTGGCCTTCAAGATATCAGACGCTACAGAATATGGTGTAAAAATTTAAACGTTAATTGAATTCTTGGTTTCAACTGAAACAATATGTAGAATTAAAAATGTGAAATAAGAGAATTAGAACGGCAATTAGGTATAGCCTGTTTCTTAACAAGCTTTTTCTCTATTTATACATTTTGATTTTTGCCCAGATATTAGTTACCATACTTCAATCTGTTGAACTGTTATTCTCAGTCTGACGAAATTACCCCACAGTCTGAGTGGTACTCATCGTTTCAAATGGTATGCCCAACGCAAGTAGGTAAAATGAAAAAAAGAATATCTATACTCAGATGTAACTGCTAGGTCAATTTTAATCGTGAGTCACCGATTGACAAATATATTCGTCTGTCAGAGATACCACGAAACTCTGTTGTTTTCAAATAAAACGAAAATCCCTCAACTGATCATGGGAAAAACCTCACTGTCGAATCGTAGTGCATGATCTTAAAAAGAGAGGAAAGCAAACATTATTGTGTATCTTTACAGATGGTGGTAAGGTTGAGCTGTGGGACCTTGAGACCGGAAATTGCGTGAGATCTGTGCGTGGTCATGATGAAGATGCGGTCACGGCCATTAAGGTAACTATGGTGACATGGTACTCCTAGGCGGACGGGCGGAAATCACGCCCGCGTGAAAAATTGTTTTTCAATTTCTTTTTTTTTTGTTCGGCTGATATTCTCTTGGTTTGTCAAAAGGCTTTGGAACTGCTATTGATTACTTTCTGAGAAAAATAAAGCAAGCGAAGTTTATTCATGAAATAATCCTTTTCGCTTTGATATAAACAACTTTGTCGATTTTATGCCCAGTCAAAGGTTATGCAGAGAAAAGTAATTTTGCCATTTCGAAAGAGTACAAGCCTTTTTTTGTTTTAAAAATTATAGACAACATGATTCTTTTATGAACAGCAGGACTTTTGATTGAAGAATTCGATTTTTTTAATTCCAATCCTTTAGTTCCAGGACGACCGAGTGATCAGTGGCTCGGCCAGAGGAGTGGTGAAGGTTTGGGACGTGAGGGACAATTCTCTCAAGCCTGTAATGAGCTCGGACCAGGCTCCTGTGGACCAAACTACCGCGGGTGTGACTGTCAAACCAAGGAGGTTACGTTGCTTGGCAACAACGGAGGAAACAGTATACTGGGGAGATGATGGAGTTAACATGAAGGCGATGGACTTAAAATCGGGTACAGCCATCACATTCTTTTACCTGAATTATGTTTGGTCATGGTTGAATGTCTCATTCCCGATGGTTTTCTCATGTTTTTTGTCTTATCGCATAGGCAAACTCCGAAAGATTCGTAATCACACGACAGAATTCGGGTCGACAGGTGCCATGGAAACGACAGGTTCGTGTCTTGTTAGCGCTGGTTACGACCTGGACCATGGCAATGGATACTTGAATGGTAAGGCTTGTTTTTTACCTTGCTCAGTGTGGTTGCCTCACATTATGGCTTCAGATGTTCTATGAATTATTGCTCTACAGCTTGAAAGGAGCTATTCACGCAGTTGCTTCTTTGCATACCCTGTAAAACTCCCTTAGCGTCACAACTCATAAGCGCACTCACATTTGCCGATTAGATACCCCTTAGTGCAGACGTAATTTTGGCGAGTGAGTGCTCAGCACATGCTTTTCTTGGTTAAAATTATAGCGGTCATCTCTGCCAGCGGAGGGCTGGGGAGAAAGGGAATTTGTTCCAAGGGGGCAAGCGACGGTGAGAAGGAAGGAAGGGGGCACGGAAGGCGCCCAGTCCCCTTTCTCGATGGTCCACCTCGCTCTGATAAGACGCTTGCGAAGCTGGTGACCAATTAGAATAAAGAAAAATATCTCAAGAAATTACTGAGGACTCAAGGTGAACAGCGGTGACGAGCGTGGAGGGCGGGAAAACGCGCGTGGCCTTTTTCATGATTGGTTCTTGTTTTGAATCTGATTGGAAAGGTGGTCGATTTAGTCCTTATGACCAACTAAAGAACGAAGTCAAACCAACTTAAGCTATTCACTTAAAAATTGCTCCAAACAGATCAACCCAAGCAGGATTGTTGGTCAATCAATTACTTCATCTTTAACTCAGTTTATTTTTCCACTTTTTCGATGGTTTAGTTCGCCGTTTACCATCAGAGGAATATGTAGCAACCGTAGACGACAAAAACACAGGAAGCATCACGTGCCTATCATGCACGCAGACAACACGTGATCAGGTGACCCTTCACAGGATGTGTACGGGAGGACTGGAGCTGAAACTCTGGGATCAGTTACCGATTTCAAAGGTCAAGAAACGATCAAGGTAATTGGAGGTTTCTTCTTGCGACATTTCTTTCGCTCTTTCTGAGCTTTGGTCGACAAACGAGGTTTCAAAAGCCGTAAAATGTTTGACTCCAGATTTCGCATAGATTCAAGTAGCTTAAAAAAAGTCATGATGTGTAACTAAAGTCTGGTCAAGTTTTACTTTCATGTTAAGACCACTCAGCATCGATGCTGTAAAAAACCAAAGTCGTAGGAATTAAGGACTTAACTTGTGTGAATATCTTTTCCAATTTACGTTCGCTCGCCAAACGATCGTCTTGTCAAAGACAACAACGTTTGCACCCTAACGGAGGTAGCTATCTGTAAATTTGAGGAAAAGTTAACCATCCTCTCTTTCGCCTCCTTTACAGACCGGAAACAGGGGACGGCTACGTCACAGCTAAGCACATCCGTCGCTTCAGTCTCCCGGATATAACTGACACGGAGAGTAGCGAGGATGAGGATGACATATCACAAGGTGACGAGTCAGATGACGATGATGATGTCAGCACGACCGGAAGTACGTCACGATCTTGGTGCACAATATCCTAAAGGACTAAGCTGGAGTACCAGTCATCAAATGTCCATATGTACTCTGCACTTGCAAACGAGTCCAGCCAACTAAGGAGTCCTTCACTCAAAGGAAATGGATATGTCAGTTGGATGAATCAAGATAATCTTGTAATCGTCGAGGGGCGGTTTTGATCCAAAAATGTCTCTCAAGGCTCTACATTGCGTGGCATTAGGATATGGAGTGATAATGGGAAAATTGTAAAGAATGATAGAACATGGAAGAACGGTTTTCAATATGCAAAATGGCTCGGTTTTTACACATATTTCTATTCCTGTTAACCATGGTTTTTTAACACAAACAATAGAAGTTACAGTCGTACCATTGTTGTGGAAGCTATTCATCATGCGATGGCCCTAATAATTTTATTCGCTGTCTTTTTGGACAGACAAATGTTATAAACACCAATTTTATTTTATTGAGTGTGTCTGTCTTGTTAAACTATTTTAACTTGAATTATAAACTAATTAGGAACTGTAAACCAAAACTAGAATGTTCCCGTCTAATTGCAATAACTTCGTCAGAGAAAAAAGCAAACAAGACAAGAAAAACAGATAAGAGGGAAAAGCAAAATAAGAATTTATTAGCACATCAAACTACCTTCTGGGTAGTGTCGAACCTGTATTATACCAGGTCACCGTATTTAGCGGTCAACTTGTATTAAGCGGTCGGCTGTCAAAGTCCCAAATTGGTTTCTCCCAAATCACATCTCTTACTTAAAGCGGTGGCAATTTATTGTATTATTGTATTGGCAGTCACCTTTGAGTTAGTCCCGAGGGACTGTTTCGATGGTACGACACCCGTATAGAACGATCACTTATATTTAGTGGGGAACCACTCAAATAGAACTCGGAATAATATTCCAAGTTAAGATGACCAACAGAAGGGAGTTCATGGAAATACACTAAAGTGCGTCAAGCTGTACTACTTTGGACCAAATGCGCCCTTACTCTCACGTGAACCAATCTAATATGCCAGTTAGGCCAGCAAACTTACAAAATCAAACAAGCTTTGCTTAAAACTGCTAGTTAGGCTGAGAAGTTCATTACTTTGGGCTAAAATCTCATATATGCACGAGAACAAATAGTACATGCCAGTTAGGCTTGTAAGCTTACAAATCACACAACAAAGTTTGCATAAAACTGCTATTTGGACTGGGAAGTCCAGTACTTTGAAACGAAATCTGCATTATACGCACGTGCATAAATCTAACATGCCAGTTAGGCTGATCAACCATCAAACTAAATAGCGTAAAACTACTAGTTGAGCTGGGGAGTCCTCCACTTGGATCAAGAAACCTCATTTTCAGATAAAGGTAAACAAACGAAACATGTCAATTAGGCTAAATAAAAAACTGTCTATAAGGCTACTAAGAAAGTATAACTATAAGTACATACCAATGATAATTGGTATGTACTTATAGTTATACCGTCCACCCCCATTAGTAGAGTATGTTGAGGTGTCTGGTGAGCGGATCGAGCCATCTCCCTCTGCAAGAAACATTGGAGTTACCTTCGATGAGCACATGTCATTAGATAAGCATGTCACCAGTACCTGCAAAGCCTGNTCATCATTATTACAATCGTAAAATGTCACACTCAACTTGCAAAATTGCCACAATATATGGAGTTCCACGTGCCTTAGCTACAGCGAAAAACATATGCCGTCGAAAATTGTATTGAGTGTTACGTGAAAACTGAAGTGTGATACGAAATCAGGATTGAAGTCTAAGCTCAACGTAGTTTAGCGAAAAAAATTGTGGTATATCATAGTTTATCTAACGCTAAACTTTTCAGTAGTTCTCTATAAGTATCAGTGGATATTCATGTATGGAGAATCACTTGTCTTACAAAAGACGAGGAAACTTAACTTAGAATTACCTTCGATGCTTCTAGAAAACTGAAGCTTCTCCGAAGCTTTGTCCTTTGTCTCTTTTTGGCTACGAAAAACAAGTGAAACGAATGCTAGTTGTGATAGCGAACTACAGAAAATTTGTTCAAAAATTTTTCCCACAACTTCCGTATTCCTTGGTCCACAACCTGCACGAAATGTGTCTGTAATTGTCTAATTGTGAACCTTTCGTACTCGATCAACGTGGACTCGCACTAACTTATTTCAAACCTTATCACTTACAGTAGATAACCTTTGCTACCGATTTACATGCTCTGTTTTTAGAACAGTACTTAAAAGTACTTGGACCAGAACGGGAAAAATTCACAGGATTAAAATTAGAAAATGATCATTCACAGTCAATCTTCCCACATCTGCTACACGCGAAGGGTAAAATTATTTAGGAATTACGTAACCGATGATTTTCAAACACATGTAATTCAGTTCAATCTGAGAGCAAAGTTATCGTCGTTTTATTTATCAGTTCATTTTAAAATTAATCTGCTTTAAAGGGAACATAATCTTTCCACGATTGATATCCAGGCGCAGATACAAGTGCAAAGTGCGCCAGTTAAATTAACCGAGGTAGGAAACAAAACTTAAAACTAGATTTGCTTTAAATTAGGCGAAGATTAACTAGAGCAACAAAACAATGTCACATCTGTGAAAGAATGAACGAACGAAGGAAAATGTCATAAATCCACATCCATAACTTATTAATTTTCGAATCATTGCGGAATTACATCTTAAAACAAATGTCAGAACCGAAGCTTCTGGTCTTTAAAAACGTGACTGTGCTTATTTCATGGCGAAAGTAAATCATAAGAGCGATATTTTCAGGCAAACGAAGCCTGGAAAGATTCCTTACATAAACGTCAGACATTTTTAGTAAACATAGATTCCATAACAACTTGATACGCCCCTCTGAATCACGAAAGTCAGTCTGCAAGCATATATATATATACCGTATCAATGTTGAAATTCGATGCCTTCGAGGAGGATAAATGGAGGATGCTTTTAAGCGACGAATTGCTTAAATTTAGTTTGTTTAACCCGGCCGGAAAAACTCTAACGCAAATTTCAAAAGGCAAGCAGCAGCTGCCTACGCTCTGAGACAAACTAGTATTTAAATTAATCTGTGGTATTTCACAATACAGGTGACTTGAAATCATAACCAAAAATGTAACATTGTTATCAATTAGTTACCTTGCCTCCCGATGCACGTTTAAGATTTCGGTGAGAGGTTTTACTTCAAGGTTGGACTAGGCGAAATCGTCCTGAAGACAGTCAATTCTCTGCTAGGAAACGCAATGCCGGATTTAACTGTTAGAGTTTGTAAGAAGTCTTTATTTATAGCTAGCCACCAGGAAAAGGCTCTTTGCTTTCTCGGAAAGTCCCACTTGACTGCACAATTAGCATTCAAAACAAGGCAATTTTCAATTTCTCCAAAATATCTGTTACGTTCGGTGGAGAGGGTGAGCTAAAATATTTCACNCGATCAGGGATAAGATAATCACATAAACACAGTCTTCAGTTTTCATGAGAACCTCGAGACCGGAAGTGCAACATAAATTACTCTTTAAAAAAAAAGCACAAAATTTACTGTTAATGTAAATAATCAGCAGAACAATTATTCTCTTATAAAATTAATTTTCCGGAACTATAACTATCTCGATTGCACAAGTTAAGATTGATTGGGGGCAGTTGCAAAAGCCGTGCAAAAAGGACAGATTGCTATTTAAATAAAACGAGAAACTAGACAAATAGTTTTTATTTCCATTCATTTCTTATCTGTTTTTGTCAAAAGACCGTTAATAATTATGAAAATCAACTCATTTCATTTCAGAGAAGAAAAGCAATCCTGCGTTACTTTTTTAAATTGTCCACAACGTCTGAAATGGTTTCCCAGGTCACACTGCAAATAAAAGAATTCTGACACACAACTTTTGATGACATCATATGGACTTCCGGTTCCGACGAGTGGACATTGGAGCGAACCGGAAGAGCATCCGGAATCCCAAAGGACTGGAGAAGATCATGTTGATTGCAAGGGGGAATGCATGCAGACAATAGCAAAATGAGTGCCAATTACCAATACTAAAATATTACAGATCCTTAGGAGAGGACCAGGCAGTGAATAATGATTGGTCCCTTAGGTGAAAGGCTTAGGCTTTTGCAGCAGAAAATGAGTTGATAAAATGAATAACGTGCTGAGGTAATTTTACTCCCCAAATTTTAAAAGATTTATAACTTATACTAGCTCCTTTTTCTCTTTGACCGCTCGTAAATTCAAACAATTCACATTTCAAGTTTAAATTTATACATTGGAAAGATGGAGTAAACTTGATTTGCCATCCAAAGCGACAGAAACCGAACAAAAGGAAATAGGACCGCTCCATAATCCAAATGAAATGTTTAGTTCACCTTACTCCTCGTTTCGTCGTTGCCCAAACTTTTCGCTCGTTCGTTTATGATGCTTGCGGTGTCTTTCAGTTTTGATCAATACTATCACGATCGTATAAAAGTCGCACCAAAAATGCAAAATAAATGGCTTCAAAAAATAAAAATAATAGTATATGGTTTCACAAAATATGTGGCTTCAGGCTCCTCGGCTACATAGAGAAAACTTTTGGCGTCGAAAATTGCCTTGAGTATTTACAAAAGTTCAATAGCGAGATCTGAATTTAATTCTAAGCTCAGCGTAAGTTAGCGAGAAAAAAAACTGTATCTCAGTTAGACTTTATTAAGCTCTAAACTTTCTCGTGGTTCTGCATAAGTATCAGCAGATGTTCCTAAATGGAGGGTCAGTTATCTTACAAAGGACTGGGAAATTTATCTTCGAGCGTCGCTGCCTGGAAACTTAAACTTTTCCGAAGCTTCGCACAAATTATGAATATAAACTTTGCAGCTGGAAGTCAATTTGAATGAAAATCTTCCTTTTGTGTAAATACCAGGAAACTTCCATCATCTTTCTCAGAAATCACTCTCGAGTATAGACAATAATAATAAAGCGAGGAACACAATGATCAT